AAAGCTCGATACCATAGTACCCCCCCCCCACATAACAAATCCCAATTTAACCCCTGCCTACATCCTACCTTCAGGTATTCGTTCTCGTCCTCCAGTCTCTCGATGTCCTCCTGCAGCTCCAGGTTTGGTGGAGGTGAGGCCTCTGAGGGCCGGTTTGCGTCGGCGGGCGGCAGCTGCGGCTCCGTTAGCGGTGAGCTCGGCGTCTTCGCCGGCAGGCCGCTTTCTTTCTTCAAGGTCTTGTTCATGTGAAACTGTATGAGCTCAGACTGCAAGCATCCCTCCCTCCAGAAGCCCGGGCCGCAGCCTACAGCGCTCTTGGCCGTCTTGCCTCCATCGGCTCTCGCCGTCTCTCTCTTGCCCTGAGAGGATTTGGTGGAGCTCGGCTGATCGGACACCACCCCCAGGCCCGGCTCGTCGGTGGCATAGGGCTCCTCGGAGGAGCTGCTGCGCTCCTCGATGCTCTTGCTCTTCTCCGCGCGTCTCAGAGTCGGGCTTTCTGCTCCACTGCCGTGGACAGCTGCCGCGCCTCGGGCCGCATGCCGGTCTTTGCTGGTGACCGGAGAATTACTGCGGCTGCTCTTACTGCCGCTCTTTGACGCGCTGCTGGAGGCTTTGCCAGATGCGCTTTTGGAAGCTGCTTTGGACGGCGAATCTTTGAATCTGGCTGGCGAGGACGCGCGCTGCTGCTTCATGCTGCTGTTTTCCACAGAGTCCATTCTGTCATCTGTGCGAGTAGTCCATTTGTGACCCTGCAGCACAAAAGCAGTCTTAAGTCGCTGGGGTATATTTGTAGCAATAGCCAACAATCCATTGTATGGGTCAAAATTATCGATTCTTCTTTTATGCCAAAAATCATTAGGATGTTAAAGGGATAGTTCACCCAAAAAGGAAGATTCTGTCATTATTTACTCACCTTCATGTCGTTCCAAACCCGTAAGACCTTCGTTCATCATCAGAACACAAATTAATATATTTTTGATGAAATCCGAGAGCTTCGTGGTACTCTCGATAATGCCAGAAGACGGGATTTGGAGGAGAAGAGTTGTTGAATTAAGAATAAAGTTATTTTTGTTTTCTTTGCGCACAAAAAGTATTCTCGTAGCTTCATAAAAGTACAGTTGAACCACTGATATCACATGGACTATTTCATCCTTACTACGTTTCTGGGTCTGGGAACATTTCAGTTGCGTTGTGTCTATGGAGGGTCAGAGATCTCTCGGATTTCATCAAAAATATATTCATTTGTGTTCCGAAGATGAACGAAGGTCTTATGGGTTTGGAACGACATGAGGGTGAGTAAATAATGACAGAATCTTCCTTTTTGGGTGAACTATCCCTTTAAGTAAAGATCATGTTCCATGAAGATATTTTGTAAATTTCCTACCGTAAATATATCAAAACGTAATTTTTGATTAGTAATATACATGGCTAAGAATTTCATTTGGACAACTTTAAAGGTGATTTTCTCAATATTATTTTTTTTTTTTGCACCCTCAGATTCCAGATTTTCAAATAGTTGTATCTCGGCCAAATATTGTCCTATCATAACAAACCATAGCTACATCAATTAAAAGCTTAATTTATTCAGCTTTTAGCTGATGTATAAATCTCAATTTCAAAAAAATTGACCCTTCACATTTTATCCTGCATGCAGCTGAGAGGGAAAACGTTTCAGTATTTTAATCATTATAATCTGTAGTCGCGTATAGACCATATAATCTTAAAATTATTAGCTCAAAACTGGCCTACCAGATACAATGACCAGCATGGACCAGGTACAGTAGAAACCATGGTTAACGTTAATTTGATTCGTCTGAAGTCATTATGATATAATGGCAGATCAGATGTTGTCATCATTAAGTGATGGTGAGGCTCAGACAGGCCTAGTCTTTTTCACGTAAACATTTACAGTAAGTCTGATCAAATCAAGACACAGACTATTATATCAGCTTCGCGTCTTTTTAATAAACAATTTCTTTCACTGTTCCGATTATCTTCCTATGGGCCCGAGTGATATTCAATAACGAGTCATGGACGGGGAAATAAATATAAAATAACAAAGACATCGAACATGTGGCAGCAGCTGAGATTCAAATATAAATGAGAAGCATCATACATTATTATTAACTAACGTTATATGCAGAGACAATGCAAAAGCACCAGACTCATTCATTACTGTTACATTAATTCAGTTAGCCGAAGGCTATTGTTAAAATTTCCATGTAAACCAAGACCTTATTTCTGTCATTCTTACAGCGACTGGGTTTTAATGTTGTCGTCGCGGTGAGGTGTTTTCTTATAACCTTTCCAAGGTGAATGAATCTTTGAAGCCTTTCTTTGTGCCCAGCCGAGCAACAGACGCACAGACAACATGCTTAACCATCCCATAATAACAGACGAACGCCATTCTTACCTTTTAACATCTCATCTTCTCGTCCTCATGGTGCGGGGAAGAATAATGGCAGCGTAGCGAGTCTAAAACCACCGTTAAAACGGATCAATATTCACACGGTGACGTCACCGCGGGGCGGGGTCTGGAGCATCAGAGGCGTTTGACGCTACAGCAGCGCGTACTATCTATCTATCTATCTATCTATCTATCTATCTATCTGTACCATTCTTACCTTTTAACATCTCATCTTCTCGTCCTCATGGTGCGGGGAAGAATAATGGCAGCGTAGAGTGTCTAAAACCACCGTTAAAACGGATCAATATTCACACGGTGACGTCACCGCGGGGCGGGGTCTGGAGCATCAGAGGCGTTTGACGCTACAGCAGCGCGTACTATCTATCTATCTATCTATCTATCTATCTATCTATCTGTTTGTCTATGATCCTGTTGTTTGTTCACCTTAAAAAAGTAAATGTAATGTTTTAAATAATAGGTCTAATAATAGGCTAATTGTATTTAGCTCAATTTATTCAACACAGAAAAATACAGTCTGTTGTTATTTATAAAAAGGAAATTTGAAAAAGGTTTGACTCCTGGGAATTTTCTCAAGAAGGATAAAAAGATTTGCATGCAACTGCATTGCTGCAATTTTACAAAACATGCATAACATTTTGATTTCTACATCGCGTGACTTTGTAAAATCAGTTTCATAAATGTTTTTGGGTGTGATTTTGTAGTGTGTAGATGGTGTCAGTGCTGTGGGTGAGATGAGACTGACAGATCAATACAGCTGAGCTCCACCAGAGCGTCTCCATCACACACACACACACACAACACACACACACACACATTTGTGGTTTATGGGGACTCTCCATAGGCGTAATGGTTTTTATACTGTACAAACTGTATTTTCTATTGCCCTACACCAACCCTACCCCTAAACCTACCCCTCACAGGAAACTGCTGGCAATTTTTGAATTTCATAAAACACCATTTTGTATGTTTTTTAAGCCTTTTGTTTTACGGGGACACAGGAAGTGTCCTCATAAACCATGTTTACGTTGTAGTACCCATGTCATTATACACATTTGTGTCCTCATAAACCATATATACCTGTACACTCACGCACGCACGCACACACGCACGCACACGCACACACACACGTTGTTTTTTATGGTTTATGGGGACATTCCATAGGCGTAATGGTTTTTATACTGTACAAACTGTATTTTCTATCGCCCTACACCAACCCTACTAATCCTACCCCTCACAGGACACTTTCTGCATTTTTAGATTTTCAAAAAAACAAAAAAATTATAAGCCTTTTGAATTACAGGGACACAGAAACTGTCCTCATAAATCCCCTTCATGTTGTAATACCTATGTCATACCCATGTCATTATACAAATTTGTGTCCTCATACACCACATAAACATGCACACACACACACACACACAAACACATTGTGTATTACGTCAATTAAACACTGCCATCGCTGAGACAGATCATGGATCAAATGGGCTGACAGTACATCATGAATGCATGTAAACAATGAGTAAATAACACAAAGGCAAAAAGCAGTTATATATTTGGTCAAAATTAAGTTACGACTGAAAGCAGGTGTTATGATCAGTCCTGTCATAGATGGGTTTGACTTCACTGTGACCAGATTCAGAGAAATGATTCAGAAGATTCTGTGTGAAAATTCATATCGGATCTTTTTTTTTTTATTGCAGAAATATAGTTCAATACAAAGGAAACAAATAACACAGAACAAAGAACATATGGGGGAATACAGAGGAGAGAGAAAAGGAAATAAAATAAAACTAAAATAAAAAAAAAATTTAAATGTATTTAAAAATCTAAATTTTTAAATAAATTGTTCTATAATACGAGATGTCTTCAGAGCTTTTTTATTGGAGGAGACTTTTGGAAGTGATGACAATAATGAATGTAGATCAGAAGCTAACATTTTGCAGCTGGGTTTAAATTTAAGGCTATACATATACCCCCGGTTTCACAGACAAGGTTTAAGCCTATAGTCCCAGACTAAAATATAAGTCTGAGCTGTTTCAACTGAAAGAAACTTGCACTAACTGATCTTAAAATACATCAATGCCTTTGTTTTGTCTCAAGATGGACACCAGTAATGTTTTTTTCTAAGGCACGATTATAAAAATGACTTAAATGTCCTATAATTGAACTATGGCCTAATCCTGACTTAGTCTAAGCCCTGTCTGTGAAACTAAAGTTGTGCCCTAAAGTTTAAGACATCATCTAATTCCTTATTGTCAGAAATATCAGAATGGAAAAGAACCTTATTGATGGAAATACTACAGAGCTGGTGGAACACAAGAAATAGAAGCTGATATTTGAAGCCAGAATCGTTTAGAATAATAACAGAAATAGAATAAATGTGAAATAGATTCTTCTTCCTCTTGGCAGAAAGAGCAGAGTGGAGAAATATTATGGTTAAATTGACTAAGACACTTATTGCAAGGGTAATAGTGGAGAATAATTTTAAAATGAATTTCTTTTACTTTATTATTAAATAAAAATTTCTTTGGCACAGTTCATACATTAAAAAAAGTAATGTTTGGGTAAAGTGCTAACCATTTTGCCTTAGTTTTAATAAGCATATCGGATCTGTCAAAATAATTTGAAGCTTTTGCAGGGCAGTATGACTGGGCAAGAGAGGAGGACGGCAGACATGATGGCAGTGTGTGTTCGTCCCAGATGGTGTGTGTGTGTGTGTGTGTGTGTGTGTGTGTGTG